GATGATTAACAGCTTTTGCAACTCACGCAAAAAGAGACTACGAAAATTTATGGTGGCAATAGACTCACAATAAATTTATTTTTACACGACAACAAAGCCATTTCAATCATACTTGTCTTAATATGACAAAGTCGATATCATCATAATAGTTATACATATATATTATTGCACTAAACCTGAATTAGAGTCAAAAACAATACATTCTCATTTTTTCCGTAATTCCCGCATAGGCACACTTCTGTGTAATAAAATAAATAAATAATATAAGTTTTAATTAACGTATATTGGTAGACACATTCGGTAGAGCAATAGCAACTTTGTAACGATAATTTCGTTAAATAATTAGCTAAAAGTTATATATATATATATATTATTATATATATATATATATATAATTATATAGACAGAAGTTTAATTATCACTATAGATTTCATAAACATCATGTGTTCATTAACGCATATGTGATAATAAAACTCAGTATATAGTACATACAGGAAGCAACATTTATTTGCCATATTCATATAACATATAGATATATTATGTTTGATTATTTATATAGTTCCATAAGTAATATCATCCATAATTATAATGATTTCTATAAAACATCTCAAAATAGGAGAAGGCACATTTTCATAACATAATATACACTACCGTCTATAAGATGTCATGCAATGCCCTCAACGCTCCACGCGTACGTTCATTTCAGTGGGAATTATGTTTGTTATGCGAACATCTAGGTACTTATTGCTAATCACTGTTGGCTCTCTGTTTCTGTGTATTATTCACTGATAGATGAAGGTCGGCGGGTATTGCTATTTGTTGTGACACATCGCAGGCGTACTCGCCAAATGATATATATATAACACGATTGCCAAGGCAAACTCTTACTCAAAACGTACAGATAGTTACAACTAAGAGCCATCTAAAAAGTTTCGTATCGCTGATTTGGCATTTATAATTATCCGCGTAGGCGGATTCTGTTCACGCATGAATTCTCTCTGAAATAAGTTAAAAGAAATATGCACAGGTAGTTCTTTTCGGTTAGCACATCTGATTAGCGTATATATGCTGCGTAATGAATTATATATATATAATATATATATATATATATATATATATATATATATATATAATATAATCTCTGGCGGGAGTAGGTAACGATAAAGGGCAGAGTTATAATTCGAACAAGTGAACATTTATATACACATAGATACCAAGATGGAAGCTGTTGGATGTGTATTCATGCTCTGACGGTGTGAAATAAAGCAAGCGTCGAGCGAATTTTGCGATCAAGCTTTCCTACCTGCTCTATTATTCATGTTGTTTGTGCACCGCGCGGGCGTGCAATGTACTTGTGTGTTGCAGATGAGCATTTGACCGCCATTTACAGGTGATTATAGGCGAAATAGAGTAGAGAAACATTAAGACTGGTAGTAAATACATATCGTCTTTATTTACCTTTTTTTTTATTGAGACGTTCCAAGTGCCTATGGTTTGGGACCCTGTGAATGTGCTAAACTAAACACAACCTTCGTTTCTTGTGGCCAACATTGTAGATCACATCCCCTAAGATCACGTCCAGCAGCCATTAACCTAATAAACCTCATAAAATATTCTTCAAAAGTCCAAGGGACTATAACAAAGACCGAGAGACAAGTTGATCAAATAGACAAATCAACACTGCGGATCGCAGTGGAAAAAGCTGCAAATTTGTAATACCGTCGAAAGACAGATATAAGTAAAGATATAGGAATAACCTATTGTTCTGGGTTGGCATACATGACCAGCTGTGTAAAGTTGTAACGCGGGAATAGACAGGGTAGAATTAGCCAATAACAGACAGTAATGTAGTTTGGGCTGACCATAAACAATAGGTAGGCGTGTCTACCTATGTCAGTATATAACCGCGTGTTTGACCAGAGAGAGACACACAGAGCGATAGTGACATACAACTTACAGACATAGACGATATTGGTTTGAGACAGCTACCTCACAGCCTTAACCTCGTAAGTTAGGTGATGTTACTCGCCCACCTCGACTGTACGCATTTGTCCCGTGATGGGCGGATGCATAGTTAAGTATGTTCAATTAAAGAGATTCCTGAATACGTTCATACTGTTCGTTAAATATTCTATTATTATCTGCATTCACATAGACGCTAGGAAGGGTGTACTACACACACTCACGTAACCACTTATACGATCACGGGTAGCAATGGGCTTCCTTATAAATTTTCAATTTACTAAAGACGAAGGGAGAGAATTCCAATGTGGAATGACAGAAACAAAGAAGCTAAACTTAAAAGGATCCTTAGAACTAGAAGACGGCACATGTCGAAAGCAATGATCACGCTCAGATGTTCGAGTTGATAGAAAACTAAATAGTTACATGATGGTAGAAAACTCAATTTGTGCATAGATGTAAAATTAATGCGTAAAAATACTAAGGTCAACCCTTTTTCACCCCACAAGTTTACTGATGGTACATTAAAAAAAGATCCTCAATAGGAGTTTTTCACGTGACGTCATAGATCAGGTCACGTGTATTTGTTATGTGTCATGGTTGGCAGAAGCAAAGCGTGCTGCTTGACATTTACGGATGAATGACTACATGTTCTGATAGAAAGCGCTGTTTATGTAGTGCACGTACACGTACACGTGCGTGCTGCGTGCATGCGTGTGCACGTACACGTGTGTGCGTGTGTGCGTGTGTGCGTGTGCACTTACACGTGCGTGCATGCGTGTTTGCGTTCGTGTACACGTGCGGGCGTGCGTGCGTGTGCACGTACACGTGCGGGCGTGCGTGTGTACGTACACGTGCGTGCGGGCGTGCGTGTGCTTGTATAGAACAATATCACGCATCTGCTTGCTGCCAATCGTTAAACTGCGTCGTTGTTATGACGTCAATGTTTATAAACATGAAACACTCCTATTGCAAAATCATCCAGATCAGCTGAATTTGACCAAATTAGGACATTTATCGAATGCAAACAATTGCATGACTTACATTCACAGCCAATTTATCACTGAAATGGAGGCAGCTTTAGCAGGCAGGTATTTGGCAGAATGCAAAATCTTCTTAGCGTGTGCAATCATGTACATTGTGGTTTAGGCCATTGGCAGAGGGAAGAGCAGCTAGACGGTTAGACTTAGAGCTACCGTTTACTATGCCGAATATCTTGAGAATATATTAGGATGGATGCTACTATGCCGTCTACTTCATATTGTGTGACAACTTCGTTATCATCATGACAGGTGAAGCACGTGCAGATGCAACAACATGACCTACATATTCCTGTTTAGATGATTCTAAAAATATATAATAATGAAATATCTTAATTTTAAATATTTTCTCTAATAAAAATCCGATGTACTGTCAATAAAATACTACTAACAGATGTGTTATCAATCTGAACACTAATCAGTCACCCCGGATATTGTAGACGAATGTAGAATGATTTAAATGTTAATCATTGTAGAACAGATTCACTGTAGCTGATCCAATATATATTCTATCATATAATATTGTGTTTTTTTCGTCATTTGCTCGTACTGTCATGATAAATCGGCCCTAATCATTTAATAAACTATATATGCAGCATAATAATAATAATGCTAGTCCCTTTTGACTTCACTCCCTGCAAATTAATTATATCAGCTTGATCAACGTGTCATGTCATATGCAGCGAACCTGATCCATTTGTTGACCTAGAAGTCAAATGAAATACCGAGGCTAGACCTCGATGCAAATCGATGTATGTGAGTCACATATTGGCAAATTAAACAGATCAATAAATATCCGCTGTATATTGCCAGTGTTAGACTCGGCTTGTATAGAGTGTACAATTATTCATGTGGAAGTGATAAAAGAAGTTGCAGTATCAAAACCAGTATGTGATAAAGCGAGTAACCAGACTTAAATATTCATTGTGTTAGTGTTGTTCATGTAAAAGAGTTTATAAAAATGAGGTTATAGGAAACCACTTGGATCGATTCCTAAAAAATACCAATTATCATTGAATAAATGTCTTGAGTTTCCTCTTTGAACAGCTTGAAATTTTTGTTCACATTATCTGTGATCAATGCCACTACTTCTTATCGTATAATTTTGCAGCATGTTATCTGTATATTAGATGAATTGGTACATTGACTTTGTCTTTTATTGCTTTCATTAAAATGCAGATTTTAATCTGTGTTGGGGGATACATAATAAAATATTAAATGCATGCCACATTGATTTACGATTGCATGCTGTTTACGAGTTTCCGTGGTTACCTTGGTGCACATTTATTAGCAATTATAATGATACATGTGCAGCTAACATATCCATACTCTATATAATATATGTGCTATGTAGCTCCTGTCTCCAGATCGTGTAATCACGTGGCAACTTTTGCACATCGGCGGATTTCTCAGTTAATCGATCCGTATTCGTTCGAAAAGGAATGTCGATTTCCATGCTCTGCACGACATCTTATAACGTACAATGATAAAGATATTAACATTATTTATTATATTATTACAGGTACACCACCGATTTTCCGGAACCCTTGGTTCCAAGGCCTTTCCGGTTTATCCATTTTTCCGGACCAAAAGAGGTCACATAATAATAATTCAACAATACACCTCTGAGCAACTATATACCTCCCAAGTCTCTAAAGCACCATGCACTGTTAGAAACTTAAATTGAACAAATATATTTGTGGTGTTTTTTTTTATCACTAACGCTTGCACCTGCCTTAGAAGCCATAGCTAGGGTAAAAATTGAGTAAAATAAGGTATGAATTGCATAAAATCAAGAGCTCAGCACCAAATGCGGCAGTTTAAACAATGCCCGCAATGCCTGCACCGCCATCTGTGGCCACCCAGTAAACTAATACGAATTTCAAATGAATTTTATCCGGACTAAAAGAGGTTCCGGACCATCAGTGTCCGGAAAATTGGTGGTGTACCTGTACTAAAATATTAACAGTGTCTGTGCTTTTTCTTCATTGCACTCAGCTAATGGGGAAGCGGACGCGCAGGAGTGTGCAGGGAAAGCCAGCCGATCGCCCCAGCCGAACAGTCCCGCGCACAAGAAGCGTAGAGCGTTGTCAACACACACTGCCAACAGATCGATCAGCACACCTGTCGTAAGTCCTGCACCGCACACGTCCGCCCGCCGACGATAGCCGCGCGAGGGCATTAAACAAATTTTTAAAGTTGATTCACGTGATGACAGGAGAAGGCTTCACTTGCGCGTCACCGCAAGACAGATGCCCATCGTGGCAAACATCACCCGGTCGACGGTCTCTCCTCGCTAGAGCGTTCTTACGGGCGTCGAAATTAAAATTGTGACACAGGGGAAGTGTTGTGTTCGCTTGCGTGTCACCGAAAATCGGGTGGTCGTCGCGGCAAACTTTGCCCGTGAGAGTGGGGTTATCGAGCCCACTTACATAACAAAAGTGTGATAATCATAAAATGTACACAAAGTTGCATTTACAGGAAAAGGCGCATTAGGAAAGTCTAAAGGGTCGTGTCTTAAAATTCAATCGTAAAATAAAATGAAATATAACTTAAATTACTCATACAACTAACTAAAATAACTCTATTGCTGAAATTATTTCCAAATAAATTCTTTAATCCTCAATCGTCGTAACTACAAATTGACGTCTTTCTACACCCACGATGGTCATGAGCAGAACGTCATCTAACATTTCCGGCAACATCTCACCATCATCGGCGGCCATGTTTGCAGGGATCGTCGGGATCGTTTCCCGGCATCGGTCCGTCGCCGCTGCTGAGCGGAGCCGGCGACGTGATCGTCGCTCACAACCCGTTCGACGACGCGCCGATGACGGCAGCCGCGGCCGCGGCGGCACAGAGCCTCGGCACGCCCCTGCTGAGCGTCAGCGTCCAGCAGGGATACCCCATCGTGCAGTCGCCGATGTCAGTGATGATGCAGCACAAGCCACTGTCAACCTCGTCTGGTGGGTGTCGCTTCCTGTTCGATTCGTATTGCAGGGATGTTTGTTTGTGCAGAAGAGAAAAATGGGTGGTAGTCTGTCTGTGTGCGTGCAGTGTGCATGTAGGGCACGCGCATGTGTGTGCGTGTGTGTAGTGTGTATGTGTGAGTATTGTGTGTGCACCATGTGTGTGTGCGCGCGTGCTTGTGTGCCTGTGTGCACTTGTGTGTGCGTGCGTATGTGCTTGAGTGTGTGTACGTGCGTTCATGCCTGTGTGTTTCTATAAGGCACCGTTTACAATTACCAATATCCCAAGCATTCTTCCTGACCCTCTCTCCTTTCCCACCGTATGCAGAACGAAATGTTGATATTGCAGATTTCACACAAAAGTCTACATTCATTATATCTCTAAAAGTGTACAAAAGCCATTGATTGCCCCCTTCCCAAGCGTAAGGTTTATATACTTGCAGTAATGTTGATCATGTGAGAATGGCTTTCCCCCTAATGCAAGTCTTTAAAACTTTATAATTGCGTAGGGGTGCGCCAGATCCAACTTTAAGTTCTGGCCGGAACCGGAACCGGCCGGAACTGGAAAAAAGTTTTGGCCGGAACTACCTGGCCGGAACCGGAACTTTAGCTGGCAATAAACCTGACAGTTTTGGCCCAGTATTGCGCAAACTCACTCGATCTGAACGAAATATCATTAGCAGGAACATCACTTAGGCGAGTAGGACAATGCTCAAAGTTTTAATTACAGGATGGTTGTTACTGTTAGGTGTATGAATCAGCTGCTTGTAGTGCATAATTTGCATAATTCTGGCATCTTATTCAAGAGCGAATTCTATGGCAAAACCTGCATGTTGCAGTATCCCTGGTTTTAGTCTATTATTTTCAACTAACGGACAGATGTGATTCCTGTGGCTCTTAAGAGTATTTGATTTTGAAAGAAAATCTTATGAATCACCTAACATCAGTTAGGTTCAGTTCAGTTAGTTAGCCAATGTTCAAGTGGCAAGCGTTTTTTGGGCAGAAAAGTGGGAAGTTGTTAACACTATATTGTCAGCAAGTTGACTCTATTGACTATCAACTACATTCTGTGACTAATCTTTTGATTTTGATGAGGCTTGTAGCAGAAAAAATGAAATTAGGAAAAGTTCCGGTTCCAGCCGACTGTTTCTGAAGGGTTCCGGCCGGAACCGGGACTCTGAAAAATTGGGGATCCAGCCGGATCCAATTTCCGGTGCACCCCTTGGCCAAGTCGGATTGTAACCCAATATATCACCTGTCAAAGCATATCCCGAGTTAAACGGACATTATTCTAAAACTGGAGCATCTGCTTATTTTTCTGCAGGTGTTAGCGGTAGTGCACTGATAAGCCTGTTCAGCAGGCCAGCCCTCACAGCCTTTTCCATTTTGTCCGTGTGTGTTTTGGCAATCTGAGAAGAGGTGGTTGAAATCGGACAAAGCACTAAGGTGTGGCCGCATGACTAATATTGCATGTGGATGTACCAGCAACACCTGACTGGCCTCACAAATTCTGCTACCCTCTGTGACACACACTATGTGCGTGTTGACACAGTGGATCATGTTTGCTAACGACCTTACCTGACACTTTTAGTTGCCTAGTGGAGAGCGAACTAGGAACTAGGCCTATATATCGAGTAGTAATGTACAGCTAGACATCAGTGTTGCACAGGCTAGCATTCTGTCTGCATGATTACTTGTGTTTGCTCCTAGCCTAGCTTGTAGTAACCTAATGCACAGTCTTGGTAAGCTCACACGTATTTATGATGGAAAGATGACATACAGACCAATTAGATAATGCTGAATTTGTCGTAGATTGTTATTAGTGTGGTATGTGTACGTCTAAGCTGTAAACATACGTGTCTAAATGCATGCGAGCATGTCGAAAAACGACCATCGCATCTCTGCACGTTCGTGCATGTACATTTGCACTTGGCAACGTTGCTTTTGCATGGATGTGCATCAGTCAAAAGTCACAATTGTCGCACGATTGTAGTCCCGATTGCAGAACGTTGCCATTTCGGCTGTCGTGTGCGTACGTGCAAAACGCGTGTGTCCGCGAATCGACGTTGCTCGACTAATACAATTAATCCTCGTTAATCGACTAATTGATCGTCGCGCGACACGACATTCACTTTTCCGTTCTCCATTCCATACTCCATTCTCCATGTAAAAGTCCCACGTTTTTACACGTTTTTTTCTCCGTTCTCGTCTCGCAGGTAAAGTCTACCCGCCGAATCAGCCGATGATCTTCAACCCGCAAAATCCGAACGCGCCGCCCATCTACCCGTGCGGAATCTGCCACAAGGAGGTGCACGACAACGACCAGGCAATACTCTGCGAGAGTGGCTGCAACTTCTGGTTCCACCGCGTGTGCACGGGTCTGACGGAGGGCGCCTACTACATGCTCACAGCCGAGGTGTACGCCGAGTGGGTGTGCGACAAGTGCCTCGCGACCAAGGACATTCCGCTCGTGAAGGTCAAGCCCTGAGAGCGCTCGTGAGAGAGAGATCTCGTTTGAACGGATATCGTTAGGAGTTTTCCCCGCGCGATTGTTGGACGAACCGTCGCTGGTCGACTGATTTTCGGGTCCGTCGCGGCGGTCGTAGCGATTGTTAACTGTCGCGATACTGCTGTGTAAACCACGGCAAGTTGTCAACTGTCACGATACCACTGTGTTGACCGCTGCAAGTCGTCAACTGTTTGAAGTCGTCAACTTTTGCAAGTCATAAACGTCTGCAAGTCGTTAACTGTTGCGAATCATAAACTATTGCAAACTGTCAACTGTCGCGTCACCCGTAGCGTCAACCGTCATATAGACTGATATATCGCGATATCTGACTTTTTGCCGATCTTCGACTCTAAACCTACGGCCGGCCGGCAGCCCAGCGCGTCACCGTCAACGATGAAAGCGGCGGCGGCGGCGGCGGCGGCGGCTCAGGGCGAGGGTGCCACCACGCAGGCCGACACCTGCCCGCGCGACACTTTCCCGCGTTGGGGCGCGAACGAGGGCAGCGCATTCACTCGCTACCTGCGCGATGACGACCGGCTCGCGCGGCGCCCCCTGGCGGTCGCGGCCGTCGACGACGACGACGACGAGCATCAGCAAATGGAGCAGCGGGACGCGCGGATCGCGCTGCGCCTCCAGGTGGCGCTGCAGCAGGAGGAGACGCAGCGACAGCGCAGCATCGAGGACGCCGACCAGAAGCTCGCGCGCCGCCTCCAGGAGAAGGAGCAGCGTCGCTACGACCGCCACCAGGAGCGCAAGCAGCAGCGCGAGCGCGAGAAGCAGCAGCAGCAGCAGCAGCAGCAGCAGCGCCAGCATCCGCAGAAGGAGGAGGAAAAAGAGACGGAGTCGGGAGACGCGCGCGAAACTTTTGTCGCCGTCTCGTGCGACGACCAGCTGAACCTCGTACTCGACCAGGTGGCGCTGGAGGACGCCTCGCCGCCGCAGGGGCGTACGTAGTCGGCTCTCGACCTGTGTTCTCGACTGTTGAACCTCGTACCTGTCTCACGCGTAGCAGGAACAGCCTGAAGGAGATGTTCAACCCTCGCTTCGCCAGCATCTTCCGCACGCACACGAACCCGACGTACTTCAGCCGCCGGCTCGCCCGCTTCGCCGACATCTACACGTCGTCCGTCACCAACCGGATGCACTACCCGACGAAGCACACGTACTACCCGCAGCGCGCCGCCCTGCCGCACCGAGCTCGACTGGGCGCTCCGGTATGGCTTCCCTGATCGTGTTCCGGTCGGCCGAGCAGCCGCACGGGTAGAGTGGGGCACGCGGGACGCCTGCACGTTTATCACGCGCGCGCGCCGCACCGGGAACCTCGGCGTGTTCTCGGTGCGCTAACGACGTTCGTTGCGGCGGCGTTGTCCACGTTGCAGCAAACTTTACGGCCTGTGCGTGTAGGTGGTGCCATTTTAAGTTGAGATTACTTTACGGTGACGTCAGCTTTTGCATGTTACGGCACGTTACGTAGTGGGATTGCTTTAATGGTCGTCTGTTGTTTGAGCATGAAATTGGATTGGTGTAGTTTTCGTCAGCCCATGTGTTCTGGTAGACAAGATTTGTTGCACACTAATTACCACAAGGTTCAACACCACGTCATATTGGAGTCGGTGTGTTTATTTGAACGACACATTACAGTACAATTACATTTCAATTGTACTGTAATGTACCCGTTACACGGTGTTAGATCGCAGTACGATTTATTTTTGATTGTTTTCATTGCTGCACCTTCCTACCAACTCGCGCGTTCCCGCAGGTGCCAATATTGTGTCACCGTTTCTTTTTGTTTCACTGAGTGTGCTCTCTGAATGTTTTTGTTTGCTTGTCGCAGGTGCTGCCTTCTATAACGTTGATGCGACGTTGACCGAGACATTGTCGCCAATAAGCGTGCATACGCCTGTTGACACGTATAGAGGTTTCCGCGACTTGGTCTAAAAATAGCAATATTACCTACAATCCCGTGCTGCCGGCCATATCGGTTACAAATAAAGCGAACACGCGTCGCGTATAATGTGCCACTCTGCACAATCAACCGATTTTACATTAGCTATAGTGTTATTATTGCAATAGATATTAGAAGTAAGAGGATCCCGATTTACCAGACAGGTTTATCAGTGTGGGTTTTAGGTGCTGCAGTTCAATGAGGCTGCCACACAGTCGGCAGATTCGTAGATTGAGCAGATCGGAAGATTGCACGCAACACATATTATGTTCATAGACTTGAGTTGTGTTTACGATTGTGAGTAGTTTCAGAAATTTCAGCCGATTTTACTGATCTATTCTAGCTATCAACGCAGTTTTTTACAAGTAGGCTAGTGTATGCACGTTTGTCGACTGTCTGTAGTGTACGTAGTATGTGTAAGTAGGGGGACCGGGGAGAATTGTAAGCACTTTTTTCCAAATCTGACCATTAACATACTTTATTATAGGTTACATAGTTACTTCAAGGTTCTGAAATTAAAAGATGCATATCTTGGCTTGAAATATGACTAAGTTTTGGTTAAGTAAAACAAGTTTTTTGAAGGGCGCATTATCATTTGCAAAGCCCTTGGAAGTCAAGTGTTTAGCACGCTTGGCGCACAACACGGGGGCAATTGTACACACCAATGGGCAATTTAACACATACAATTGTAGCGCAGCAAGATCATATCCCTCAGCAATTTTTTTTTTTTTATAAAGGTGACAGTTGGGCAGATTTTCAAGCAATTAAACAAGCAATTTTATAGGAACACACATAAAATAGATTTTACAATAAACAACTATACGAATGCTCGACTCATGTTACATATGATAAAATAATAATAGGAGGCTACTTATTGGCCTTGTGAGACAAAACATATTTACAGACGCCTTAATTCAAGAGTTATGTAGTTCTGCATGTCTGAGCTTATAGATAGGCTAGCTTTTTCAGCATTTTGTAAAACACATACGTTTTATACATGCAAGGGCAATTGTAAGCACGTTTGTACATTTGGCCGCCGCGAGAGACGGCGATAATTTTGGGGGGTGTTTTTTGGGTATCTTAGGGCATGTAATTCGTCGATGAATTCTTACGCAAATGAGGCATAAAACCTAATTTTTTTATGATATACAATGACAGTGATAGCTCAAGTACATATTTCATGTCCAGAAAAAAAAACATTATGTAATTCGAGATTTTAACTACCTGCTAAAATCATATGATTGTTCTGGCGATGTCAATGTTGCCTCGATGCGTAAACCTGCCTACCTTCAGGACAGTCATGTGGGGCAATAAAAGTGCATGGCGCCTGTGAAGAGCGTATATATAGCAGGTTTGCGACTAGAAATGAGGGTCCTTGTTAACAATTTGCCGTGTGTTACAATTGTCGCCCGGTCTCCGCCTACTTTGATTCACATAGACAACGTAGCCAGAAGGCACGGGCTATCTCGAGAAAATTGCGCTGCCCGTGGCTACCGACCCCCGTTGACAACTACAGCACTGGAATGGCATCTGCCTTCTGAAATTTTGATAAACGTATGTTTTACTAGAGACGTTTTAAAAATGAAAAAATAATGAGAAACAACCAGATTTGAAACACAACAGTTGGCGGGCATATTTTCACCTTATACAAACTCAGGAATATACTTCGGTCGTCAGTCTGAGCACGGCCCATGCTCCCCCCCCCAACAGTGAGATGAATTGAATTTTCCCATTGCAATCCCGTGAAAATTCAATATCCCATCTACAATTAGGTCTATTCAAAATTTTGATGAAGCAAGGATTAGACTTTGGGGATTGAGAAAAAAAATCGTATATGGGGGGGGGCGTCGCAAAATTTGACCGTGTGAGTTTCAGTAAAATAATGTCATTCTTGGAACGAGGTTACAAGGGCATTTTACAGTAGATGTATGTCACGTTCCATTTCTGTAATAATACAATTAGGCAGAGTTAAGGAATAGCGATGACGGGATTTGTAGATAAAAATCGGCAGATTTATTGTCAGTAAATATAAAAAAATCCGTATTTTATTCTGAAGTAGGGGGGATGAACGCACCGCACCTCAATTAAGTTTGAGGAGATATACGCCGCATGCACCCGGCTATGGCTACGGGCCTCGCGGTCAGATGAACTCAAATTTGACTTTTGATATGCTAAATATTAATAATATGAATTTTTTCTTTTTTTTTCCTTGTTAAGAGAGTCCATACCATCAACAGGCGCCCGGCGAACGATTTTTGAAGGTGGGGGTGGCTCAATTTGTTACCCACACTCACACAGAGTGAAACATAGAGTATTAATCGAGAGGGTGGTAAGAAAGCAGGCGGGGCTATGCGGGTCTCCCGCATACGGACCCCCCCAGAAGATTTTGACAAATGCCCCCATCTCTTCTTACCTGAAAGCTAAGGCTGGGGAAATATTGTACACGCCATCCCCCACTGCATAAGTGGGGGGGCCACACGGGGGTGCATCCCCATCCCCCGCTATATACGCTCTCTGCCTACTCACCCACGGTCCCTCTCTCACCGCCGACCACGCCCGCATCTCTCATCGCCACCATGCTGCTCTCGCGCGCGACGGCACGCCCCTCTCTACGCGACCACGCCCCTGCTGCACCGCGACGGCACGCCGCCTCTCTCAGAGGACTGCCGACCACGCCCTCTCACCGCGACCACGCCCTCTCTCACTTCCGACACGCCTCTGCACCGCGACCACGGCCCTCTCACTGCGACCAGCCACTCTCCGATCACGCCGACCACGCCCTCTAGCGCGGACACGGCCGCTCTGCTTCACTCGACCACGCCGCTCATCTCACTCGCGACGCACGCGCTCTCTGCGCCGCGACCGGCACGCCCTCTCTACAGCGCCGACCACGCCCTCTCGGCCGCGACGCACCGCGTAGTGGGGGCGTGGGAATGCCGGCCTCTTCTACGCCCGACCACGCCCTGCTCTGCATGGCCGACCACGCGCCTCTCACTGCGACCGCTACGCCGACTGCCTCTCACCGCGCGACACGCCGTGCTCACCGCGAGCACGGCTGCTCTCACTCGACTAACGCGCGCTCGTCTTCGGCGCGACACGCCCGCTCTGCTCACCCGACCAGCGCCCCTCTCACCGGACACACGCTGCTACGTCACGCCGACCACGCGCCCTGCTGCCTCGCCGCGGACCACGCCACTCTCTACTCCGACCAACGCCTATCAGCTCGACAGCGCCGCTCCTCACCGCGAGCACGCCCTACCTGACGCCGCACCACGCGCGGTCTCTCTGCCGCGATCACGCTCTCCTCACGCGGGTGTATGCATCTGACATTTTGGTCTCAGTCTAATTACGTATTTGTGTCGTTCTTGTTGGGCAGAAATATGACAACCTTGGCTTTTCAGTTTAATTATTTCTCAGGTACTTGGATTTAAAAAATACTTATCCTATTATTTTT